TTCTGGATCTCGGTGCTTTTGTTGCCGGCGTAAGATAACGTGGCGAGTTTTGGGAGCATCTGAAGAGTGTTTTGAACGAAGTGCGGGAGAGCCCTACCTCCATCATTCTTTTCATTGATGAAATACACGTCGTACTCGGGGCTGGCAAGTCGGAGGGCGCAATGGACGCGGCAAAGCTTCTGGAGCCCTCGCGGGCACGCTGTGAGCTGCGCACGGTTGCTGCCACGTTCTTTGAGGAGTACCGCGAAAACGTGGAGACGGACGCGGTGCTTGGGCGGCGCTTCATGCCGGTGTACGCGACGGAGCCAGGTGTGGACGGGAGCAACAGCATTTTCCGTGGTCTAGGGGAACGCTACGAGACGCACCGCGGAGCTCAGATGACGGACAATGTAGTGGGTGTTGCTGGTCGCTTGGCCGATCGCCACGCTGCGAGCCGCTTTATGCCAGACAAAGCCATTGACCCGATTGACGAGGCATGTGCAAACGTGCGTGTGCAGCTCTCGTCGCGTCAAGAGGAGATGGATCAGCTGGAGCGCACGAAGTGGCAGTTGGGGATTGAGGCAAAGGCGGTTGGGCGAGACAAAAAAAAGAAGTTGTTGCAGGAGCGTCTGAGGATTGTCAAGGGAGATATGCAGCGTGTGGAAAAGCCTCTCCTGGCTCAGTGCAATGGGGTGCGCCAGTGAGTCGATGAGCTGCACGAAATGCGAACCTGTCTTGATTAAAATAGGACGAGGCTGGAAGAGGGCTGAGCGAATGCGGGACATGGAGCAGCACGCTGTCGCCCGCACACAGTGGCGCTGCTCGACGAGGCGGAGAGGCGCACCCATCTGTGACCATTACATTGCTGCGAGTGGTGGACGCTTGCCGGCTTGCGGACTCGCATGGAAGGACCGTTTATTTCAGCAATGCCGTTGTCATCGTGACGTCCAAACTTAGGTCTGAGCAGTTTGTCCACGTGAGGAACCCTCCAAAGGAGTGAGAAGTGATGCGTGAGAAGGTCTGGCAGGTGGTGCGCAGCTACTTCCGCCGGGAGTTTGTCAACTGCCTTGACGACATTGTGATCTTCCGCAAGCTGGGGTTTGGGGAGCACCACGACACCGTCGATCTTATTTTTACGGAGATGAGCAGGCGACTGAAGTCCCAGGACATCTTGCTTGGAATGACCGAGGAGGCGAAGTTGTTTTTTTTTCTGGTGAATGACTTTGACGTTGAAATGGGCGCCCGCCCGCTGCGCTGTTGTGCTGAGAAATACATCGCCACCGAGGTGAGCCGCGTGATTCTTGTGCAGCTGCTTCTGCCGAATATCGTTGTGAGGGTGTTGGTGAGCAGCAGCCAGGGCAAGCTTGCATTCAGCGTGAAGCGCTCTTCAGTGGCGTAGCGGTGTTGGGGCTCCAACTTCACGAGGGGTTTTGCGGATGGGGGAGAGACGCAATAATTTTTATTGTTTTTTATTTTGTTAATTCCTTTTTTTTCTCACCCTCATCGTTGGCATGATCGCTGGGCACACCACTGCGGTGAGGGGACCGGCTTGTGTTACAGCATTATTGTTTTGCCACCCCCATCGTTTTATATATTGTTTTCTTTATTATTATTACAGACGCAGGATAAACAGGAACGGGGAAAACGGATACGCGAGGAGTAATTTCTTGTGTGGCTTTTGCCTGGCGTGGTATGCCTGAATCATTTCTTTTTTTTTTTTTTTCTCATGGCCTATTTTGTCTTCTCCCTTTGTGTATTTTTGTGTGTGTCTGCCTTCATTGCATCTTTTTTGTTTTGTGGGATGTTTGGCGCCAGCACTCGTGATTCCTGCTATAAATGCTGTCGGAGAGTGACGATTTCACACGTACCGCGTGGCATCCGCAGAGCTGGATGCATGACCTGCGCTCGTTTATTGGCGAAATGGCCATAACACAATTGTGTCTTCTAGGCTCTCACAACGCGGCATCGTACGGCATTCACAATGGTTCACCATTTGCTAAGGATGCGCCGGGGGTTTTGTACGAGAATTCCTTTCGTGGTTCCCTGGCACGCCTTTTTTCTTACAGGATCAGTGCATCTTGGGCAAAGTGTCAAGGGATGTCTGTACGCGCGCAGCTGAACCACGGTGTGCGCTATCTGGACCTGCGCGTTGCAACAAACCCAAAGGACGCCGGCCGACTGTACATATCACACACCCAAATTTCTGTGCCTCTGGCTGATGTGCTTGAAGATGTGAAGGCGTTTCTCAATGACCCCTCCTCTGCGAATGAATTTATTGTGCTGGATTTTCACCACCTATTTCTCACGGATGACAGTGACGGGCAGGGTAAGTTTTTCAGGGAGTTGGACCGCCTCTCGGATCGCTTCATACCCGTCGATGTGCCGCTCACAACGCCGTTGGAAATTTTGTGGGGGACCTCGCGTGAGAAACGCATTTTTCTTGTGGTGGCCGCAAGAAGGAATATGATGCCATACCCTGCGGCACGGATTCGCTCCAAATTCATGGTATCTCGATGGGTAAATAAGTGTTCTTTAAGGGAGCTGCTGCAGGCTCTTACGAATTTGCTACTGGACGATCTTAATCATGCTCCAAGTGGTTCGTCTTCGAGACTGTACGTTACACAGGCTGTTTATACAGTATGCAGCTGTGGCGTTTTTCGTGGTATCTTCCCGAAGGTATCAAGTAAGGTCGTCTCGAGTATTTATGACGTGGCAAAAAGGATAAACTCCTCTCTGCTTGAGTGGTTTTATTCACTGAATGCACATGGGCTTTTGGATGGTGCAAAGGTGAAGATTCCACCGGGGATAAACACACACGGAAACATACTTATGCTGGACTACGTGGAACTGGGCCGCTGCCGGATAATGGACGGCACGAGGGAGACAAATGCCGTTGGCATGTGTGTATACCTCAACATCCTACGCGCGTCACGCCCACGGGCGAGTTCCCGGCAGCGCCCGCTTTGAACGAAGAGTAGCTGCAATGACACAGCGAGCCGAAAGGCCGTGAGGGGAGTGGGAGAGTCTCCTCCCACCCTCTTCATACGATCGCTTTTTTGCTTCTCCAAATAATAATGGTTTTTTGTTTCTTTTTTTTTTTTTTTTCTATCCGACACCGCTTAACCCTTGCTGCCCATCCACTTTTTCCGCGTTACTGTCGTTTTGGAAGCTTACGGGAGACGTTGCTGAAATTTCTCATTCTTTCTTGTTGATTTATACGACGTACCCATGTAGAAGGAAGACGCTGCGGAGATGAGCCATTCTCACGAGCAGCAGCCACTGCCGCCCAGTAGCATGCGTGCATTTGTGGCGTGCTCCGCATTTGAGTTTGGTGGGGATAGTGGGCCTGGGGGCATCGGTGGCGGCATTGTCGCTTTTAAATATCCACGGAAGGGCCTGCGTGGTTGCTGTGCGACACCGTTTGAGCATGCCGTGGTGCGCCTCACGCGGGAGTCCCTGTCGGTCTACCGACCCGCTGAACCCGGACTTCATGCTGAGTTGAGCTGGCGGAACGTGCGGAAGAGACGCCGCCACGTGTCCAGGAAGGGAGACCGGGTATCGTACGACTTTGCCTTCTTTACGCATTCTGACATTCTTCTTCTTGAGGTCAAGGACGCCTTGACGGCGGACGGGATCACCGCTGTGCTGCAGCTCCTGAATGTGGCGGACGCGTCCTTTGCGTCCCCGGTGCAGGACGCGGTGCAGTGGCTCGTGCAAAATCGGCCGTTGCCGGTGTCCTCTGCAGGATGCCGTTCCCCGCCGGCCCCGACGACGCGTGTGCCCGTGATTCAGCTGGAAGATCCGAGGGGCGAGGCGCTGCGGCGTATTCGGATGCGTGAGGAGGAAATGCGTGAGGCCATTTTTTACGTGCCGCCCCGTCGATCGTACGCAACTTCGCTCGGAACTGAGAGGCAGCTGAAAACCCGCTCACCGCCTCGCGGATCGTCGTCTCCTGCGCCACGCCCAAACTCGCAGCCGCTGCCTCGCCACATCGCCGCAGGCACATCGGCGGACGTGGGTGCCCCGCCTCTGCCACGGTCCGCTTCTTACTCACTCGGTGGCGAAATTGCCCGTCAAAGCGGGGCGGAGACAGCCTCCGAGATGCGTGAGCTCCTGCATCTTCTGGAGCAGGAGGAGAAGAAAACAACGGTCTTGTTGGAGTCGCAAGAAATGCGCATCCGTGCTCTCCGCCTTATGGAGGAGACAGATGCCCCCCTTTCTTTGCGCCAGCAGGCGATGACCATTAGCGGCGTCCACTTCTCCTGCAACAGCCAGCAGAAACCCCGCACAGAATCACAAGAAATGGGCGGAAAAGAGGCTGTTCAGACAGTGTGCGATGGCAGTTATGCATCACACGAGCGACCGCCACTGGTATTGCGGGAAATACAGCCATCACCTCATCGTGACCAACACCAGGAGCTGTCATTGTACACACAGAAGCCATCTTCTAGAAGCGTGATGCCGACCGATGCTGATGTGAAGTGTGAGGCGGTCACACCAGCCTTGACTTCACTTGGCACGCACAATGGGAGCAATGAGGAGTTGAATGGGGCACGTCGGATGGGATCACAACACAAGACTGAGCAGCAGCGGCAGCAACAATTGCCTGTCGACGGCCTTTCGGATTCAGAGGCTCTGGCACGAGAAGAATGGTGCTTGGAATTGTCTTATGGGAAAGAAGAGGCGGCCACAACCGAGCCGCAGCCGCTCGTGAAGAGGAATCCCTCTCCTGCAGTTGCCGCTGCTGCAACAAAGGCGGCGGAGGCATGCTCAGCGACGCCAGCAGAAGGTGGTGGCGTGTTGTGCAGCAACTGGGAGGAGCCGCGCCAGCGAGAGGCGGGGAGGAAATACAACAGTCAGACGGCCACGCAAGAGGCGAGGGGGAAGCCGCCATCCGAGGCTCTTGAAGAGAAGAAGGGTGGTGCAGCCCCTCAGCGGGAGCAGCGGGAAGTGCAGGAAGGGAACGCTGCAAAAACAAAAGGTGCGCTACGGGTGTGTGGGACGTGGAAGGAGTATAGGGATGCAAATAGTGGCCGCCTCTACTACGTCAACACGGAGACCAAGCAACGTACATGGAAGATCAAGGAGACGCCCTTTGCAAACGAGTGATTGATGGCATGCTTGTATATGAGGCCGACGGGGGCATCATGCGGCTTACGCTGACGCTCTTGTTTTGGTCACAGTTCCTAGTAATATAAGGGAGCGGAGAGAAGACAACGAAGAAGACGGTGTGTGACTTTTGCCTTCTTATCATTATTATTGTTTCACCTCTGTTCCCCATTGGGGGGTGCGTCTCCTTGTTTCTTTTTTTTTTTTTGTATCAAAACAGCCACCACGTTGGGGTTTTGGCTTGAGGAAGCGGCGCGCAAAGGAGCGAGCATAAGTTGGCGATGCACACCCGCAGTTCCTGGAGCTGTACGTCCTTTGAGGAGGTTCACTTCGCTTTGCTGTAACTGTGATGCCGACGCTTCACCCTCAAGTGCGTGGGTGCGTCTCCGTCAACATGCATCTCTCTTCATTTTCTCCTCTGCTCCACCGCAATGCAAAAAGAGCTAGGCGTCGTCCAATCTATTCACAACAACAACAGCCAATAATGACTACGTGCCGTCTGCTGTGCGCCCTGTTGGTGCTCGCCCTGTGCTGCTGTCCGTCCTTGTGCGTGACAGCGAGTGGAGACGCTAATACGACTACCACAACAACGACGACAAAAGCGCCAACCACTACTACTACGACTACCAGTACGACTACTACTACTACTACTACTACTACTACTACTACTACTACGACGACGACGACAACAACAACGACAAAAGCGCCAACCACTACTACTACTACTACTACTACTACAACGACAACAGCGCCAACCAATACTACTACTACTACTACTACGACGACGACAAAATCACCTAAACCTTCGGACACGACAAGGGAACAAACAGAAACTGCGGCTACTAGTAAAGAGGAGCCAAGTATGACGACTACTAAAGCACCAGTTAATAAGGATGAACTCAAACGGTCGATCCCTCGCGGTACTAACGGCAGCTTCAGCGGCTCTGCGTGGGTGTGTTCCTTGCTGGTGCTTGCCGTGTCCGCGCTGGCGTACACCACTCTGGGCTAAAGAGGTGTGCGCGGGCTATGCGTGCCAGCAATTATTCACGGGGACTTGTGCGCGGCACTTGTGGTCCGATGTAAATAAGGGAGATTAATTTGCATATTTTTCATTTTATTCAGCTGCTCTGCTGTGTGCTACGCTTTGTTTCCCATCTCCGTCACGTTGCAGGCGTCCCAGTCACACTCATGTGTATGACACACATACGACCGTTTGCGTGGACACACATAGTTGCGGGTGGATGCATGCGCACTGGAGCCTTGGGTTTGTTTCTTTTTTTTTCTTTTTTTTTGATGTTAATTTTTTTGCCTTTTCTTTTGTTTTTTTTCGTTGTTGTTTCTTCTGCAGGGCGTTGTGCTTTTTTGCCCTTGTGCTGTTTCCATCTGCGTCGTGGTGTGTGCTGCGGCTGCGGTGCTGCTGCGGTGCTGCCGTTTGTTACTGTGCGGTGGCTGTGCGTGGTGTAGCGGCCGCTTCTCTCTTTGTTCTCTCCCATGCTCTTGCAGGTTGACTTCACTGTGTCGGGCGACTCCACCGTTCGTGATGATGCTGGCCGTGTGTTCTGCGGCCTGTTGACGCTCGCGCTGATGTGCTCCTGCTTGCGTGTTTGCGCGACGGAGTATTATCTTCAATGAGGGATGCCAGAGAGTAGGATGTTATTTCTCGATATTCCGGTTTCGCTTGGGTTGGTATTTGAGCATCCGTAGTTTTTTTCATGCGAGTGCCTTTTGGAAGAGGATGGTGTAAAATGTGTAGAGAATAAGTCACACAACACAGCTGTGATTACAGTGCGACTCTCGGTTAAGCGTAGGTTGCTGATATTTTTCTTGGAGGGGAAAGCTTCATTGTTGGTCTATTTGTTGGTGGCGGTGAACATGGTGTTGCCCGCTTTTTTCCCGAAGGGGCACGGGCCGGAGCTGCAACCCGGTCGAGGAAACATTTCATAGGCCAAGCTTCAAAGTTTTCTTCAGGTGTTTCTGAGCGGCAGGTTGTGGCAATATATATTGTTGTTGTTTTTCGAAATTATCCCACGTGTAACTGATGAAAGAAAATGACTTCAGGATTTGAAGCAAATGTTGTGGTTGAAGTCACTACCCTTGAGTATGGGGGTCCTCTTTTTTTTTTAATGTTCTTTATTATTATTATTATTATTATTTGCGGCATTTTTCTTTTTGATTAATTTTAGTGGTGGATTTGGAGAGTGGAGGAGCGAGGGTGAATAGGATGGCGTTTATTAAGTCCGTGTTGCCTCCCGGCACCAGTTTCCCTCCTGTGGTGCTCATGGTGCTCTACCTCGTGGCATTTGTTTTTTCTTGGGCTAACTATGGTGCATCCTTTCGTCCAAATTTAAGTCTCTACGGAAAGGATCTTGTGACAGCTTATCTTGCCTTTTGTATCATCGGCACGTTAGTGTACACACTGGTTAGTGGTGCCTTGTGGCTTCGTGCAAGTAGATATGTTGTTCGGTCATCGCACAAGGTCCGGTTTATTATCATTGGTGTTGGACTCCTGTTTTTTTTCAAGGATTTTCCACTTTTTTTGATTGAGTCTGTCACTTTGAGACGTTACGGGTGGCGGAATGGCTTTCAAGGATTCTGTTTCATTGTTCAGCTCTGTTTTTTTCTGTTTCCATTTATAGTCATCTGGTTGGCCTTTATCTGGTTTATTACAAGTTTTCTTGACTGTCAATGGGGAACCGATACCGCTCATACGCATCTTTCTCTTGATGAGGCACTAGCACAACCAGTACCTTTAACACCACCACCTCTGATGTTACATGAAAACTCATGCAGCTACGACAAGGATCCGAGTTTTTTGGCGCAGTTAGGAGGCCAAACTCTGGCATCGACCTCCCATAAACAAACTACACCCGAAGCCTGTCAGGACAACAGGAGAGTTCCGGTTGGCTACATTTGATTGCTTTATTACTCTGTTTATTTGTATTGCTGTTTCCCTGTACATGTGTTAGATGCTTGCCTTACAGTACTGATATCCGAAGAGTGAAGACTCTATTACGGATTCATTCATCTCTGTAAAGTTGTCATTTCCGTTATCGTGAAATTATTATGATTACTATTATTACGATCATTATTTCTTTAATGTTGTTGTGGTTGTTTTTGCCTTTGTTTTGTATCGATCTTATTTTTAAGGGTTTTACTTTTTTGACTTCCTCTTGAACAGACTCCTTTTTTTTTTTTGTTGGTTGGTTGGTTGCCTTTGCTGAGGATTTACTTTTTTGAAATATGTGGCTTTGACCTCATATCTGAGGAGGTAAAACTGTCTGTGATGGGACAAGGCCTCACATGTGGAGCAACGCTTGGCGTTGGGCTGTCGCTTAGCGTAATACCTGCCCGGCTTTCAGTGACCGATCATTTGGGTATCTGCGCTGCTGTGGCTGGATGCGGGCTTTGTGTGGATTTCGTTAGTGACTGCTGCGCCAAGGAGGGGCGAGTCATCATTCACCGCGATGTTCTTCTTCAGGCGCAGGATGTGCTGAGACACGTGTCTACATTCTACACAATGTGTGATTCCAACCCCATCGCCCGTTTCTTTCGTCAGAAACACGAGTGGTTGGTTTTGGAGTCTCACGGGCGGCGCTATTACACCGTTCAGAAGAATCCTGCAACAGGCGATGTCTTGATGGACGTCAGAAATTCTCTTCGTGCCGCAAATGACGTGGGGTTGAGCGTCGCTGGGCGCCCCATACACACGGGAGAAATTCGTCTGCACCGCGTAGATTTGGAGTTTGACCTTCCAAACGATCTTCAGGTTGCCTACATGATTGCATGGCTGCGGAAGGAAGACCCGCGTTGGTCCTTTTCCACGGAGAACTCCAGGCATTTCACAACGCGTGCTCGGTATGCATTGAATGACTTTTAGATCTGTCAAGAGAGAAGAAATGGTGTGGGAGGTGTGACTATGACAGGGGTGGACACGTTCTTCTTGCTTCTCTTGTGCATTCGTTTAAAAGGGCCCTTTTTGTTGTTGTTGTTGCATCTATTTGCCTTCGTTTTGTTGCAGTTGTTGTTTTTGTGATTTTTTTTTTTTCATCCGTAGCATCTGAAGATGATGAACAGGGAGAAGGTTGGACGTAGATTAGATCTCGTGAATAGCTCTGCCGGGTCTATCATCAGTTTGGCGGCGTGGTGTGCATTGCAGGCCTCTAGCGCCGATGTCATTTTTGCCGCTATCGATGAGCGAATGCGTAACGCCTCCACGAGCAAAGAGACGCGCTGTGCACTGCTCAACGTCATCCATGAACTTCTCCTTACGTGTGCTGCCAACGGTGTTCCAGAGGCAGGGAAGCGGAGTGTGCTGATGGCGGTTAGTAAGACCCTCCCTGGCATGGTGCAGGCGGTGCGCGGACTTGCTGGGGCAGACGCCGAGGCGTTTGAGCAGAATCTGTCAAAGGTGGTATCATGGTGGTCGATGCTGAATATTTTCCCACGTGCATGGATCGCCCAGCTTGGTGTGAAAAAGGAGGCGGAGCAGCCTAGAGATACGACAGGAGGGGCTTCAATGCCCGTGCAGCTTTCCTACATTGCGAACTTGATGTCGAGGTACAACGAGATGAAGGAAGAATGTCTTCGAGTGTCACATGCCTCACCGGAACGAGCGGCGTCTCTTCGTGAAGAGGCGATACAACAACTTACAAAAATTAGGGAAGTTGTTCATTGCAAGCTAGACGGCGGGGTGTCTCTTGTTGCATGGCTTGATGCGGAGCGGAACGCGTTGGAGGGAAATTTGCCGAGCATGACATCCTCCGTTGTGGGACAGAAGGAAGAAGATGACGTTCTTGGCTCCTTTTTTTGAAAGCCAGAAATTAAAAATTTTCACATTTGCGTTGAGAACAAAGAATGCGATTCAGCTGTGTACTTGGATAAACATTGCAAAGTGGATGTTTTTTTTTTTTTTTGCATCATGTGTATTATTACCGTTTCTCTTACTTTATTGTTTTTCAAGCTTTTTTTTTTTTTCCTGTGTGTGTGAGTGTGTTTTTGTCTGTGGTTTGGGGGGAGGGGTATTTAAGCGTAATTCAGGTCATTTTTTCATTATGGACTTAAATGTGGAGAGCATGCAGCAACAGCAGCAGCAGCAAGGAGTAGAGCATCTTCCGCGATGGTCGTGGAATCTCTACCCCGCGAACCGGATTGATGCTGCGCGGATGGTAGTCCCACTCGGCTGTGTCTACGCTCCAATCGGGTCCTCGTGCAAGGAGGTTTACTACGAGCCATTGCGCTGTGTGTGTGGTGGCATCTTGAACCCGTATTGTGTGATTGACTTCCGGTCCAGGACATGGGGATGTCCTTTCTGTGAAACCAAAAATAATTTCCCACAACAGTATGTCCACATATCGGACCAGAACTTACCATTGGAGCTTGCAGGGTGGAACGATACAGTAGAGTACGTGAGCATTGTAAAGCGTGACCCACCAGTCTTTGTACTTGTCTTGGACACCTGTATAGACACAGAGAGTGAGCTTGAAGGGTTGAAGGAGTTTGCGTTGGATGCCCTCAGCAAGCTCCCAGCTGAGGTGCGGATTTGTCTTATTACTTATGGGACGACGGTGCAGATTCACGAACTTAGCGGTGTGACAGATTACCCGCGTTCTTTGGTGCTGCGTGGAAGCCAAGAGGTGACTGTGGAAACTCTCAAAAAAGTTATGCCGGAACCAAAATTGTTTGTGGGTGTTCTCTCGAATGTGAAGTCTGTGGTGACTGTGATTCTTGAGGAGCTGCAACAGGACGTATGGCCTGTGCCCAAATCCCACCGTCCGTTGCGATGCACAGGCGCCGCCCTTTCCGCCGCCGCCAGTATCCTTGAGATTGTCTCACCAAACACAGGGTCGTGCATTCTTGGCTTTATTTCCGGTATCTGCACGGAGGGACCAGGCATTGTTGTGGAGACCACGCGGGAAAGGTTTATTCGGGGCCATGCGGATATTCGAGACAGCACAGCTGCTGCATCTTTTTGGGAGTCATCTTGTACCTTTTATGACTCTCTGATGCATCGGATTGTTAAGCAGGGGCATTCACTCAGTTGTTTCACTGCCTCACTGGATCAGACGGGTATAGCGGAAATGAAACTCTGTATTCAGGCTTCGGGAGGAGTTGTATTAAACGACGAATCATGGCGAAAGGAACCTTTTCGCCAATCGCTTCACCGCTTCTTTGAACGAAGGGATGACGGCACGCTGAAGATGGGACTAAACGTCACGATGGATGTCATTACGTCAACGACGTGGAAAGTCATGGGTGTGATTGGGCAATGTGTGGGCACAGGCAAGAAATCGTCTTCTGTAGCCGAATACGAAGTGGGAATGGGT